ATTTTAATTGATGATCATCAATATAATATTTCTATTGGATCTTTATATTAGATCTCCATATTTTTAATATATAGGATGAATCGTGTAAGTGGGACGAGTTGCAGTTCTTATTTCGATAAAGAAAGAAAAGAGCTTATAAAAAAATTGAATGATATAACAAGATCTATGTTTGTTATAAGTGTGCACCGAAAATGCAATTATATTTTTTAAATGGAATTATATATAATATGTATTTTAACATTAATTGATTATTAAACATTTTGCATATAAAAATGTTAAGATATACAAAATTAATAATTTACGAAATACTTTTATTCTAATATCGTTCAATATTAAAATGTAATCTGAAATAAAAGCCTTAAATGGTTGCAAATTAAATTGGCAAGAAATTTAATAAAATTATGCTTATGAAGATATCTTAAAATGTTAATATACTTAATATAATGATCATAAGTATCAAATCTGTAAATAACTTTATTGCAAAAAGTATTATCTTGGTCAGGGATCAAACACAGAGATTTAATGTGTGATATTACTGCTTTGTTAGAATTGCGTTTGAAAACCGAAAATTAAATTCGGTACGCAATTTGTAGGATTTTATGAGTATATAAATTCATACGGAATTATTTAAGCACTAAAGATTCAGCTTGACCATTTAGAATTTTTATCTCAGATTTGTTGCGTATTCACTGTAAAGTTATCATCTTAAAAAATATTGTTTTAATTAATATTGTTGAGAAATAAAATATTTCCTGTAAAATATTAATTTTTTTAATTACTTCATCTTAATACAGGTTACTCCATTTGAAGTTTCGGACTCAAGCAATTATTTCTTAAACTCTAAACTATTTATTATTCCAAAAAATATTTAAGTGGGACTTATTTTATTTCGAGGAAAACATCTTGTATATTTATAAACAATAATAAAATTAATTAATCAATTGCAAAGAAAACACATTGTTGCTTTTAAAAAAACATATACAATTTTGTAATAGTTTTTATATGTTGTATGTGTTATACGTTTGCTTTATATGAATTTAATCATCTGTAATTAATAAGAGCTGCAACCCAATCATGATTACATAAATCATCCTGTATAAAAGTCTAATAGTAGGCTAGTTTATTTAAATGGAGATGTATTAAGGAATTTGTAATGCAATCACATATTTAATAATGAATGAAAAAAAGAACAGTCTTTATATATTTATAATTAATAATATATAAATAGAGAACAAAATACAATTATACATATATAGAATATATAAGCATATATAACTCCAATTTATAAAATCAAAACTATATGTTATATTAATATAAGTATGTTTTCTTTAAAATTTGTATACAGGGTGTTCATTTGAAAACTTTCCAGCTGATTATCTCGGAAAACATAAAAGATACAAAAAAAGTTAAAACACGTGTTCCATGATTTCGAGGGGGAAAGAGAATGGCTCTCTCAATTTTTTATTTGGAGGACGTTTTCAACGTAATTTGAAGGTCAAATTTGTTTTTTTTTTAATGGAAATGTATATTTCTTATTACAGGATCTTATTTTACGTAAAAAAACAAGTAACTTCTGTAGGAAACATTTTTTTGTTCGATCACTATTTTAGGAGATATTTAAGAAAATAGCAAGGCATAGTTACTGCATAAAATTTCATTATTTATTATAACAAATGTTCAAAATGTTCTCCGTTGTTTGCTAAACAATAATAAAGGCGATTCTGAAATTCTAAATGAACATTTTGAAAAGTATTTGCTTAATATTTTCCGGTGGAGTTTTATAAACAACGGATTTTAAGTGTTCCCATAAGAAAAAGTCGAGTGGCCACCAAGATCTCCTGATCTAACTCCACTCGACTTTTTCTTACGGGGACACTTAAAATCCGTTATTTATAAAACTCCACCGGAAAATATCAACGATTTACGTCAAAGAATTGTATATTAGGAATGTAGAGTTATTCCAGCAAATATTTTCTAAAATGTTCGTTCAGAATTCCAGAATCGCCTTTATTATTGTTTAGCAAATAACGAGAACATTTTGAACATTTGTTATAATAAATGATAAAATTTTATGCAGTAGCTATGTTTTGCTATTTTCTTAAATATCTCCTAAAAATTATAGTGATCGAACAAAAAAATGTTTCCTACAGAAGTTACTCGTTTTTTTTACGTAGAATAAAATCCTGTAATAAAAAATATACATTTCCATAAAAAAAAACAAATTTGACTTTTTAATTACGTTGAAAACACCCTCCAAATAAAAAATTGAAAGTGCCGTTTTCTTTTCCCCTCGAAATCATGGAACACGTGTTTTAACTTGTTTTTATATTTTTTATATTTTTTGAGATAATCAGCTGGAAAGTTTTCAAATGAACATCCTGTAGACATAAAATTTGTACAGACAATCGTATAATTGTATCATTTCGATTGTGTGGAAGCTCATGTTCCACATTTTTAAACAACAAGCAAATCTTTAACACACATTTAACAGTAATAAGATAATCTTACAGAGGCATAACTCGCAATTATATCAATCACTATCGTCATTATCTATTTCGTTTACCATCTCAATTTTGCATTATGTATTCGGACGATTTTTACTTTTACCATTATAATACGTAGTTTGTGTCTAAATCTATAATAATATCCTTTTTCTAAAATCATGCTCTATCGGCAATTATAGTATATCGCAATAGAATTTTAAATATTTAGAGAAATAAAAGCTTCCTCTCTCCAGCATACAATAATGATCACGTTCGAAGACTTGCTTCAAAATTGCATTTGTCTCATGCAAGGCGTGGATAAGAAATATCAATAATCAATAAATGATGAAAATGAAGAACAATGTTTCCAATTCGCAGAAAAATAAAGATAATCGTATGCTAAGAATCACGCGTTATTTAAATACCAAGATACGTTGTTCGCATAATTAGTAGGAGGGGTTATCAAAACTCACAGCGATACTACATTTCTGTATAATTTTTCAATATATTGCTGCATCGGCTAAGCGCTTCGAACATGATCCTGGTTGACAAAGTTTTGTCGTATCTGAAGAATGATTAAACATTTAATTATGAATAGAAAAACTTTGTAACGTCTTGACCCATTTATACCCATCGTTGCAATATTCTACACTGCTCCCGCTTAGCGATGTCCAGACTTTCCGCATATTGAAATAAATTGTTTTGATTTTCTCACAGAGCAAAGTATGTAGATATAGGACGGTAGTAGGAATAGTATTTGCGAAAATTGGGAAGATATTCAAGAGGAGTATTTTCTGGGTATATACAGGTTAAGGACATTCAATTTTACATTCGTGATAATTTACGACAAAACATCGCAAAGCCAACATTCGATAACGTTTATATTCATTTAACGTAATCATATAAAATTTGCAATATCAATAACGTAATGTTTTCCAGTCAATATAGTTATACATATTATAGATAAACATTCGTCGACACAATAGGTCGATTCGTCTTAAACTATTTTGGCACTAGAATCCACATGATCGTTAGGTTTTAAGCGTCGATCGACATCCTGAAATATGTCTATGAAGCTAATAAAAAATTTTTAACATAACGTGTGCGCGTTTGAATGTATATATGTGTGCAACGTAACGTGTATGTATTTTTATGTGACGCGTGAATCTCATTATATGTATATATGGATATATACATTCAATGTGTAGATGTATACACTGATTTGTCTACTAAATATGGAGATGTTCAGAAATTGTTAATGTCTTACATTCTAGGGAATTTACGATTACTACAACGTGTAATACCGTTATGATAGCGAGTGACTTATTCTAGAAAATGTTAATGAATCCATAGCAGCTACAAATTGTGACCCAATGTGAGAATTTTAACTACATGTCTACGTGAAATAAATTTTATTTGATTTATTAGCATTTTTAAGGCATTGAAACTACATGAATTTTAAGAGGAACTGATTTTTCTATTATTCACAAATTCTCATTAGAATCATCAAACAATTGTCAGGATTTTAAAAAATATTAACTAATATTTTATAATATTTAATTATTTGATTTATAATATTAATTTATAAGCAATTTTTTTATATTTTAAGAATGAAAATCCTTAATAAAGAAAATTAGAACAAAGCCGAATGTCATGTATGTATTTTCTAAATATCATAAATGTTAATTTCACGAAATATATGACTATGTCACTATCACAAGTTGATTGATGAATTGTTACATCTACGTAAGATTACGATGAAAAAAAAAAGATTTCGTATTTGCAACGCTTTTTTGATTAGCTCATGATCAGCATACGTTATACTTAATACTAATTATCGCTCGTTTGTTTTGGTTGTTAAAAGTTCTCTATTCAGCTTGAACTAAATAGCATGGTCTATATCAAAATTTTCTCGTATTCCAAATTATCGTATATACGACAAAATTAGCGATTTACTAAATAATTAAAAAACGCAGCTGCCAATGTATATCATATACTATATTTCTCGTTATAGATATATTCATAAAAGAAAAATATTTTAATTGCAATCATATATGGAATGTCCTTACAGTGACCACATATTTTCCTTTTTTGATTAAATTGCTTTCGTTAAACCTTTAACGTTTTACGTTGCATCCTCGTTGCATAGAATTTGCGTAGTTACTTGTAAAGGTAATTATTTATTCGAATCTGAGAAATCGTTGTCATTTCCCTTACAAAAATTTAACACTACTACTGGCCAATTAATCACTTATTTTCAGTATTAAAAGTACTGTTCTTTTAATACTGAAAATAAGTAATTAATTGGCCAGTATTAGTGTTAAATTTCTGTAAGGGTTACTGAAATATAGATAGTGGTAAACATCGATTATATTGCGATGCCAACTATCCGTTATACATGTTTGTTAACCAATTAACATAATTATATTCCTACACCATTAGAGAGTATACCGCATTAACCAAATAACATATAATTATATTTCTACACCATTAGTATACCATTAACCGTGTGTTCGCTGCATTTTTTTTTTCAATAATCCCTGACTACAGTATCTTTCGTTGCAATTTATCCAGAGAACGTTGCTCTCCCAACGACGCAGTCGGAAAACTGACGATGATAACGCTGAGGGGAATCAGATGGGAGAATCTTCCTGGCGTCGCATTAACTCTCTTTCTCCTCGATCGGACTCACCTCATTCTGCAGCAGCTCGAATTTTGGACTCAAGCTTGGCAACATACCTCTGGTACTCGTTTTGATTTGACTGTACTTGTTGTAGATGTCCAGCGACTTTTTGCGATCCATTTCGAGCGTCTCCTCGATCAGTCGCGGCGGGATGCTGCCCGCTCGTTTGTGACTCGGCACGAACACGCTACCTTCCGGCTTGCGTGTCGTCGTCTTGTCCCCCTTGTGTTCCGGAGTCAGCGTGCCATTACCCAATTTACGTTGCTGCTCCTGGAACGCATCCTCTTGAACATCATCCTTCAGCAGCACACCGGTTATCACGGGCTTGTTGTTTTCTATCTTGCTAGCAAAGTCGTTGTTCAGAGCTTTCTGTTCCATAATTTCGAGCTTATTGGGTGTTGTGCCATTCATTTGAAGATTCGGATTCGATTGTACGACATCTGGGAAATTGTCAATCTCCAACGAATCTTCTCGTATTATCGCGGCCTCAACGTCTTGTAGAGATGACATATTTTTTGATTTTCCGAAGAATTGTGGCTGAAAAGAAATAAACCCTTTCTATATTATAAAGATCTTTTCCTATTATATTATACATATACCACACCCGCGCGCGCGCGCACACATACATAGCTCATGTTGCTTTAAAGAAAATATGTATGCAAAATGAATTATTTTATAAAATAAGCAACGCACGTGTGTTTTCACCAGTTAATTCATCTCATTATTCTGTTCATAAAAATATTAAGATATATGAATATGAATACAAAATAATAGTTTACAAGATATTTAATGTTTCATGTTAATTCGTGCTAGAATAAAGTATATATACATATAAATATCTCGTAAACCATTAAATTTTCTATAATAACTTTATTATACTTATATAAAGAATAATTATAGAGGAAATATATTATACATAAAAAAATCACATAATTCCATTTTTAAAAAGTAGGGGTGGTCTTCATATCTTTCTAGTGCCTAGTAAAAATAAACATGATAAAATATACATATGTGTCCCTTGAAACTGTTCCATTTTCATCTGAAACATTTTTCTATATTTTCCATATTTTTCATGATGTTTGCCTGGATAAATTAAAATAGGAAACACATCTTGTGTTTGTATACACACAATATTGTTGAAACTATAAATAATAATTTATACTTTTGTTTCAATATATATAGAAAAAAATTCATGATATATTGAATATATAATTCATGGTTGAAAGAATAAGTTTTATTAGCTGTCGAGAGGGGGACTCTTTTATTTTATATAAAAATTAATAAAATGAAATGAATACACACAAAAAGAAGAGTTCGGATAAATCGACTTATCTCTCTATTTACTTACACTTTTATTCTCTTCCTCCTCCTCCTCCTCACTGGTAAAATTTCTGGAATCGTCTAACAGTATTTTTTCTATATCCGGTGATTTATCAAATTCCACCCATTTTGATCGTCCCTCCAGTTTCCGTGACAATACATCGGACTCGTAATTACCACCATACATAGGATAACCAAGGTGGCCGGAATCGTATTCGACCTGATTACCGTAACGGTAACTCGGGTTGGCCGATCCTTGACTAGATATCGAAAGATCTGACTGTGACAGACCGGTATTGGTGCTCCCAAACAGTCGTGTATTTTCGAAACCTATGTAAGAAACGACAAAATAGAAGATAAATCACAAAAACGAGGTGTTATGTCATCACGAGACTGAATGATCCACCTGAGAATCTATCGTCTGGTATTTCTTCTCTATGCACTAGAGCCTGTTGATCGGTAACACCGGTGGTCACATCATCGGTCGACCCTTTGTTACCCTCTGTCTCTTCCTTGTTATAATCTGGTTGTATTTCCACCACAAATGAACACCCGCTGTCCTTGTATTTTGAAGTAGATTTGTTATCCTCTGTCGTTACCTGGAAGTAAATGTAGTAAAATATAATACACAAATTATGAAATGTAACATTTTTTACAGATACTCCTTTGTTAAAAATTATTATAAAATATTTAAATTATGTAAAGTAGTGCATATTCTTTCATTTTTAACAAACAATTAATATAGTGTATTATATCAGTTTTAATAATAATTGATTTACAACGTTTGAATTTTCACAAATTGTTTAATATAAATATAATTTTAATCCGACGTGGATCAAAAGAGAGAGAGCTGGATCATAATAAACCAAGACGTTTTTAAAAACATCTATACTTTGTTGCATACTTGCTGAGTTTTAATTAACCTCCCAGTAGCTGAAGTCTTAGTGATTCATTTTATAAGACTAGCTATATGTACTAAAAGATTATTACTTCATTAAAGCTATTAGTTTTCTAAAACTATAGCTGACATTACGAAAGTGACTAAAAAATATTCGAGTCATTATGACCCGAACCAACTATATAAATATATCAGCCTATGAGATACGTATTTATATATAATATAAGCAAAAATAATAGATGCAATAAACATTGGTTACTTAACATCGAGTAATTGTTCAATAGTAAGAAACAATAGTTGGGAAAAAAATAAACATTCGATATAACGTTGTTTGAATTTAATCGAATATTATCCTGCCTTAAAAATTTGCGTGATACAAATTTTTAAGGCAGGATAATATTCGATTAAATTCAAAGTTCATTATTCTGGCCAAATATTCCAATTCACGAGAATTCGTATAAATCTGCTCAGTTCATTAATTTTTTCTTTTTTTTTAGTACAAGCCCTATACGAATAAACTCCACGCCTTTTCCTTGTTCGAAAGTTGGAGCATTTTATTATATATAGGTACGTATACATGCGAGAAGAATGGATTGAAGCAGAGCGAGTGTATAACATTTAGAGAGATCGAGGTGGAAAATGAGGAAGCGTACGAGACAGACGATAGAAAAAGGGGGAGAGGAAGAAAGGGGGAGGGAATGAGCTGCGGTCAGAGAGGAAGAGGAAACGTAGGTGTCGGTAGAGGCAAGTATTTCGACGGATAAATTTCGAGAATCTTCGGCGCAAACGAGCCTCCACGAAGAAGACGAGACCGTAAGTAGGACGATAGGTGGGGGCAAAATTGCTCGGTGGTAACCTCCGACCTTACCAGGGTCGGCCAAGTTCGATAATTACGAATCTACTCCCTACAGCCAGAACGAGCCAGTCTGACCTGATTATTGCAAATCCGCCGACGAGTTTTGCTTGTCTCGTGTTGTTTAGAATAAACGTGGAAGAAAAGAAAAGGATTTATATATAAGTTATTTTCGTTTTGTAGCAGTAGTTTTCAATAATATTTTCAATTTGTGACACATTGATCTTTAAATAGAGAGATAGCTACAGCACTCTACGGATAGTTGTCTTAAAAACTTTGTTCTAAAAAAAAGAAAAGAATAAAAAAATATAAAAGAACAAATTAATAAAAAAAGAAATAAGGCTCGTTATATAAAAAAAGTCTTACAGTTAATTATTTTTATATTCTTCTATGTTATAAAAATATCAATAATACAAATTTAACAATATTCAATACTAAAGGCCGTTAATGTAAGAACATAACTAATACGAATACGAAGCCTATAATAGTCTAGCTTGGATCTTTAATCGCTTATATATAATTTCGCGTGAATTTATGTATTTACTAATATACGTAATCCCCCCAAACTGCGCGCCGAACAATCGTCGGTCTTGAAACGCAACTCTAATAAACTACCGCGGTACTATCACGAATTAAAACAAATTAATAATTAATTGATGCTCTTTTGGCATCTATATCGATGTTAAACTACATTAAAATCTGAAAATAATAATTCTTCTTATTGCGAAAAATATTACCTCGGCCAGGAGTCGAACCCGGATACAAATTTAACTCTATGCATACCGTTAAAAAATATAAATATAAAAATAAAATTATTTGAGATGTTCTCTAAGCACTTATCTATTTAAAGATTAAATATCAATGTAAATTTGTTGAGATACATTATTTATAGGTGTACGCATTTCATCAGTGCGTGCCCTTGATTTTTTTAAAATAAATATCACTAATACGATATTCAGAAATAAACAGTAAAATTTTAAAATTTTAGTTTTTATTGTTTTAGAAATAATGACAATATTGCTTTGGTTGAAATGAGAATAAACGCAATACAATTTAGGTAATTTTTATAATTTTGCAAATATTTTTTATTTTGCGCCTTACTCGTTTCTTTCATTCTAATTCTTTTTCGTTTCGTTTTAATTTTTTTCAAATGATCACTTCACACTTAGCCTTTTGCACGTTTGAAAATCCTATCACGTTACAGCAATAACATGACGAAAATTTCCTATGATGACATACGTACCGCACGTTCCTCTGTTTCTACGATAAGATGATTGTTCTTGAGCGTAAGGGTGATGATGTTCCCGTTTGTGTTCTTGCTGGTATGATTACCGGAAGTCATGGTGTATTCCATCACGGCCGCTGCCGTCGTAACGTCCTCCATAACCTCCGTCTCGTACATGTATCGAGGTACGTCTAGGCCATTCACCAACTGAAATTGCATACATTTGCACGTAAGAAACAGCAAAAAAGAATATTTTCTTCTTTGTTGATTATTATTTAACATTTACAAAAGATTTAATTCTCTGGAACTAAAATCTGTAATTCTAACCTACTGACGCTGGGTCTGTAAGACTCATTTAATTTATGTGTTCTTCAAAAAGTATTTATGTTAATTCCTTAATTTTAAAGACTAAAATGATATATACATATATAATCCGCAAATAAAAGGAAATGAATAATAAATATAAGCTTAATAAGAATAATCCAAATGTATAGATATATATAGAGGAAAATTACCGATACCGACATACCACTTTGTTTTTAGATATCTAATATTTCTTAAACTAAGAGTAAAAATAGTAAAATACAATTTAAAAAATATAAGTACAAATTAAAAAGTGTCTTCTATCAGATAGTATAAGCAGTTTTTATAATACTGTTTGCAATTTTACAATAATTAAGTTTTTCGTAATATGAAGGTCTGACAAAATGGGCTCCAAAACTGATATAGACAGCAATGCCTATATTCCTATTCTATAGGATAAAGATATATCCTATTCTATAAAAGGAAACTAATTTGTGAAACTATAAGCATTTAAAATGACATAATATTATCAATAATACAGTCACTATTATTTAAATTATGCAATTTGCAAAAAAATATCGTAAAAATTTTCTTCTCGGATTCATAGAATTCGTTTTTAACTAATTTAGTATAAAAATAAACCACAAATATATAAATTATGAGTTTGTATTTGTTTAATTCTTAACTAAATAGATCACGTTTTTATTAGTAAGATGCAAAGGTTAATTTTTGAGAAATAAGGAGGTGTCAGTTTAGGAAACTTATATGTCAGTATCGGTGACTTCCCCTAATATAAATAAATTTGAATTATTTGACATTTTGAACAAAGAAAATTGAATCTTTAGCGATTATCTGTCCGCATACTCTACGTTTCCGTAAATTAATTCTCTATTAAGTATCGTCTCGCAAGGACTTATCTTTTAATTTACGATTTCTTTCTGAGGAGTCTTATTTTTTCATATATAATTATTTATATTTAGCGTCGATGTTGGCCACGTAATAGACTCTCTTAATTCGGAATATCTTGAAACGTGACGCGCAAGACAGACATGATTTTTCGGTGATGTTCGAAAATGCCTCGCGCAGGATACGGGAGATTTAGTTGCAGTAGATGCGCGCAAGGGTTATCCTAATTTACGAAACGCGCGCAAGAAGAGGACGGCCGGAGGGGCGGGCGGGGGAGTAGAGGGGGAGAGAAGAAGGGAACATCTCGTTCAGTTTTTTATCTATCACGTTGCGAAAAAGCTATTTCGCATGCAAGTAGGTGTTCGCGTGTACGCGTATACACCTATACGCGCGCAGATGCATGCCGGTTACGTCGTTCTCCGAGTGCCTTGTGCCAAAGGGTACTGAACCTGACCCAAGGGGCATTGATCTTGCGCTGCGTCTCTCCATTCCTTTTCTGTTAGATCGCTACACACACCGGTCGTCACGTTAGCCAAAGCGAGCAGGTATCATTGCGAGGCCCTGACTCGGTACTCGCGGATGGCAGTCGAAAATACGCGCCGAAACACGGAGCGAACAATGTATCTATGTATGTACGACCGTCTCACGCTTATTTATTGTTGGCGAGCGCTTGTCCTCTAAGTTGTTCCAACGAAACCTACGCTATGATACGTTTGTAGATTATATAATCACCTGTTCTAGATTGAGCTGTCATCTCTAAATGTATAAAGCTACATATATGCGAAAGTTTTATTCAAAGTGCGTACAAATAGTAACAAAAAAATTTCTTTTTCTTTTTCTTTTAAAAAGTTTGATATAAAATCTCTGTTTTTAAGCTTGAGAAATTTTATTGAAGAAAATTAGGAAGCTTTTCTTCCGCTCTCTCTCTTCACCGGTCCTAACTTGTTTCTTCCTAGAATATCACTTTAGCAATATAGAGCATAAAATTTTAAAAAATTATTGAAAAAGTCATCTTTTTTTAAAGATTAGTACATCTATCGTTTTTATTTACATATATTTGTAGACTAACGGAACGTGTTGCGAAACAGATAATATCACATAGATGGGTTTTGGCCAACTGTTGTGTTCCATATGTGTGGCTTTTAACCTTTGCCGATCAGCCGATTATTACTTACTAGATAGAATTGCAAGAACATATTGATCAATGTTTATGTATATTGTTTTTTCGAAAAAATTGTATAATTAGTACGCGTGCAAATTAACATTGTAATTTATAAAAATAAAAAATGGAAACGTATGAGAACATAATTATAATAATGTCGTTAATACGAAACATAATCAAAATTAGACAGCATTTGATAAATAAGTACTTAATGTTAGTCAATGTTAATTTAATTAATTAAGTAATTACGAAAGTAATTAAATTTCCGATCCGTGTCTTTGTAATGAGGACTGATCGTTCCGAAATGTAGTGAACAGGCTACAAAAAATTGGCAAATATGACGACCACATATAGACACATATAGGTACTTATAAATCTGCACGTGTTTTGCGTAGGATAGTCGTATACGTAGAGTAGACTATACGAATTCGTATTGGGTCGTGATCATACCGCCGCTTCTAGCGGACATTCAAGTACTAAGCACTCAAGGACATTCGTCGCTTGGCGTCTGGTTTTTTTGTTAACACCGTTAGAGGTTGCAGACGGTCACGACGAATGGAGGACGTTTATAGACGAATATTTTCTAGACAATGACAACCGAATACATACATATACATATGTTGTTTCGTAGTTCAATATAATTTTCATTTTATAGCAACTATATATACACACAGTGCCTTAATTGTCTTTCTCGAACATACATGAATAATTAACATCGAATATTTTATCTGATTATTACATATTGATTTGAAAGTTTTATCCTTGGTGGACCGGCAGTGACTCTTTTTTGGATTATTCTGTTATTTTATAATAACCTACTCGCTCAATTTTTATCAAATTTAGCATATGGGATAATTTATTGATAATACTTTATTCGGATCTGAGATCAAAAATAAAAAATTAAAAATGACAAATTTAATATAATGGTGGATGGAATTTCAGAAAAATAATTTGATTATCATAAAACTCGATTTAGGGAGTTTTTAATTGCACATCAAGTTTTTATTCAGTTTCGCTTTATTTGAAGTTTATCAGTGCTATACATAAACAGTTAGTGCCGATTTTCAAACTGATTTTTAATATAAATTCACATAGTATTATTTAAGCACTTAGAATCCAGATTGATTGTTAAAAGCTTTTTTCCCTTCTTGTTATATTTTCACATTTACGATCCTAGAAAAAAACTCTTGTTTAATATTATTAAATAGTTGACAAGCAATCAATATAACGTTACACATTCGTCTAAATATTAATTATCACTTAATTTTGAAATTTTCTTACTTGTTTATAGTAAAAAAAAACCTGAATAAAAGAAACGATCACGGAAAAAGAAAAGGATAGGTATGATTGGAACGAAATAATATAATGGATGGAATGTACGTTAGTTGAAATATCCAAAAAGAAGTAGTATTGGTATTCAATTCGTGACGCATCTTTTAACGATACCGTTAGAGGTCCCAGACGGTCAAAATTGTCTAGTCTCTCAACACCATAACAGACCTCGTCTATACGAATAGATAGTCGCGAACTAGATAAAAGTGGCCTTGAATTATTTCATCATCTAAAGCGTAGACTAAAATCTGATTACGTAACATTATAGTGACTAAACTAATTAAAATCGTATAGAATAAATTACTATTGTCCAATCAAATAAAAGCATGATGTAATTAAAGGAGTATTAAACTAGAGAATAATTGCACTATTGTTGCTACTGATTTCATAGAAGATTGTGCGTTCAGAAGATTACTAACAGTTATTTAAATTTTGCTTATTGTGTTAACGTCCATTGGTTCTTTATTTCTTTTCAGTAAATTATCTGTATAATAATAATAGCGGCGTTTGCAATTTAATCCTGTTTGTCAATATTTACTGGCTTTTTATCTGTAAAGAGCCGTCTATAATAGAAGTAATATGATGTGTAGTAAATTGTAAGCCGTAAGAAATTAATCAATCACACTCGAATATAAGGAGAATAATCGATTGTAATTGGTCAATTTCTTACTACTTTTTTTAACTTCTACGCCATATTATACTTTCATTATACATATATGATCCGTAAGAGCGAATTGTCTATAGGAATATTGTAAGGCAATAAGAGATAAGCAGTAAGGAAACGGATAATTTCAATAAAAAATGTAAAGTTACTATCTTACATTTTCTACGGTAATTAGCTAATTCGCTTACATGTTACTGCCGTATGTTTTTTTTTTATGTATTTCTAGATTTTTTATATATTTCTTGACACTTTTAAGTTGTTTAACATGTGAAAAACATAAATCAACCTTTTCTTTATTGGTATCAAAATGATATTGTTGAAGTTGTTCTGTAATAAAAAAAAATAACTGCAAAGTCAATAAAAAATTAATTTTTTTGAGTAAACTATAATTATAACTCGTTACTTTTTAGATTCGGTAACTTGTAACATCAAGTTACCTTTGAAACAAAAAATTGTAACTGTAACTAGTTATTTTTACAAAATAATTATCCTAACTTTGCATTTTATAGTAATAAATCTTTTTGTAAATTTGCTATTTTATTTAACATAAAATGATCATAATTAATTATAATTGTTAATATTATATTTGACGATATATTATTTTTTTTTTTTAAAGACATTGAAAAACTCATTTAAGTTTACACTTGCATTCGTAATTAGTATAGAAGTTAAATGTGAAAGGCTAACTGATGGTGATGCGCAATATTTTATCGTCGAGGTCAGGCTCTAATGCGTCATTGGTAATTGATTGTTGAATGTTTGATGCACTAAAGAAAAAAAATAATGACCTTGCCACGAAAAATTTTCAAGACTTCTCCAACATAATTTGCACATCTCATA